GCAAGAACGACTTGTGGACACTACATTATGCTTGATTTAGGCAGATTGTAAAGTCATCTTCATGCTCGATATAAATGCATCTGAGAGGACGCTGAAATTACAGGGTGAGAATCCCCCAGGTTCCACCTCTGATGTCACCAGCTGAGCTTTTGTATATCTGATTTAAGTGTGTCTGATTTACAGAGAGACAACCTCCTTTGGAGTTGCCTTTATAAATGACAACACAGGGTAACCTACAAAGAAAGTATTTTTTGTACAGAGGCAACGTGATAAACTGAAAACTGTAAACTGAGAAGAAGTGAGATCCAGATGGCTCACAGCATTGATTAAACATATGCCCAGTAAAGAATGTATTTGTATAAAAATAAAGAAACACTGTCAAATCACAGCTTAGAAACTGTAACTGGCAAGGCAAACCTGTCAACCCTGGATTTCTCCACATGTTGAAGCAGCCTACATAATAAGGCTGTATCACGGAAAAACTGCATTTCTTTCAGATTTTAATGTATGGTGCCTTCTTGTAGCGTTTCCAAAATTCAAAATCACAGGGGTAAAAGTTAAAGGAGTATATGTCGCATTAGACCACCAGCATTTGAAACCAAAACAAACGCTTTGTCAGCCACAATTCCGGCCTCCCTTCGGCCACAACCCCCCTTCCTCCCTCCTTCACGTTCTCAGTCAACAAGGTGTTATGAAGTTAAGTGCTAGCAGCCACTAAACACACAACATGCACAACTGAATAAATGTACACGAGAGCCAACAAAAAACAATCCAGTCACAACCACTAGCTCACTAGCATGGCCATGTTATGCTCAACAGCAACGCTTGCAGTTAGCCAGCTAACCATAGCAACATTTGCCGAACACATTCATAATAATGGAAACAGCAAGTTAGCTAACATTATCATGCCTTCTGTAACCGGTCAGTAATAAAAACAGACACGTAACATTATGTAGTCATCAAGTTACTTACGCACTTTGGAGAAGAAAAGCCAGTTCTGAGTCAAGCTGGAGTCCTTTAGCAGCTAGTAGGTCTCTCCATCTCGGTAAATCCAGACCATAATTGGCTCTAAGGTAGGATTGGGTAAGAACTTCAGCCTTGGAGTTATTGGAGCCGGTAAAGTCCATGAGCCACCGGCCGACCGGGGTTTCAGCCAGAAGTCCTCATTGCCAGTCTGCCTGTACGCTGGTCTTATCCCTTTTTTTTACTTTTAAACAAAAAAAGTGATTTCTTCACTGGAGGAAATTCTGAGTTAAATGTTCCTGCAGAACTGGAGACTGCAGTTTCAGGACCCTAGTTTCTGGAGACACTGCCACTTATGACATGGACATTGGCTCCGCATTTCGTAAGAAGATGGACGGTAAACAGAAAGTGAGTATGAAAGCTCATATAGCCTAAACATATTAAGAGTAACCAACTAATTTCTTTATTGACACAACCATCTACCATATTTATATTAATGAAATGATATATAATTATTCATAATATACTGCGGTCCTGAGACTGCAGCCTCCGGTACTGCAGGAACGTGTCTTACAATCTATTAGAGGCTATGCTATATGTAAGCAACATTAAGATGTTAAATTATAACGGCAGGGAAATTTGTATTAAATTAGTATTGATGCTGCTTTTTTGGTCATTGTTATAGCTATTTTATATACAAACTGTATTAGATTATATGTATTTACTGTACTGATTTTAGTTGCCCTAATCTTTCATCTGTGGGGTGAAGAGCTGAGGGAAACGGAACCTGACACTCATGCACAGTACCTAGCTTTCTGCTTTATCAGAATAAAAGATAATCCCATCACGTTTTTGTCACATACTGTCCAGTAAATAAATCCATTCAGTCACAACGCAGGGAGGTTTACACGGGTCACATCATGGACTGTATAATATATATGAAGTATGAGGAAAAATTAAATTTCATGTTACTTCTGTTCTCTCTCTCTCTCTCTCTCTCTCTCTCTCTCTCTCTCTGGAGGTTCTTTCACCCAGTGTCATTGTCCCCCAGTGTCCTCACTTGACCACACATTTATTTACATTCCTTGCTATTGTTATTGTTTATTATTGTATTAAAGGACATATATATATATACACATGTATATATTTATGTATATATATATATATATATTTATAAATAGTATATAATCTTGAATCTGTACCAATAGTTGTCCTTCTGTCTTGCCTCTCTCCAACCTCTCGAATAAGAGCAAGGGGACAGGACAGGATAACCTGTGGACTAAGAGAGGAAGCAGGAATAGGTGAATAGATGAGGACGGGAGTGACAAAGGAGTGAAAACCTAAAATTAAGAGCATAGACAAGGAAAATATGTGATGAAGACCCAGGTGGAGAGGAGAATGGGAGGAGTGAAAGAGAAAGGGAGTGAACCCTATGACCGAATCACAGCCATGCTTTTATTACATTTGATTGGCTGACGCTTGTGCTTTCTTAACTTCTACCACAAGCAAAGCGAAGCAACTGAACCAAAATGCAGTCCAGCAACCCATGATGTCACCCCACTCAAAGCCTAAGAACGCATCATTAGCACTAACTAGCACAAGCACTTCCACTATGTAGTATTTCTCCACTGTGTGGAAGCCAATCCTGGATGCTATCAGAGTTGAGCATTAGCAGTCACTCATTTGCCACTCATGCAGCTGTAGCTTCAGTCTATTAGCACAATATCATGCATGTAGCCATGAAGTAAAATCTTATACAAGATTCTTGTTTTCATCATAATGCTTGAAACATAAAAAAGTCAGGTGGCAATGGAATTTTCAGCTTACTGGACCTAACATTAACTTAGTTGTCTAGGTAAGTATACAGCTGATGCAGAGAACCGTGGTTACCGGGTAGAAATAGGAGGCCTGCTTTTGTCTAGCTCTGTCTAAAACCACAAACCCATTGCCCCAAAAATGACTAAGAAATTCAAGTGGTAAATTGCCACCATTAACATGGTAAACTGTAAATTTACAGAGCAAGAACAGAAAGCTTGACAACAATATGTTTCAACAATAACTAAGGGCAGTAGGCTTGAGACGGCTGTCAGTTGCAAATTTTTGAATTGGTCCATTTGAAACAATTCTTTAGAGTATTTAATTGTTCTACTCTCAACTTGAGAGATGTTCTAAGGTATAACATTTTATGTGCTGCCTTACTTGACTTAATGTATTTAAACAACATGTCAACATTTTGCTCTCATCAAAACCAACACTTAGATGTCACCTACATTATCAGACCAGTAAATAGGAGAAAATAACAGAGAAGGAGAAAATAACACAGACATGAACAAATCCCTGAATACTGAAATCCAATATCTTTTGCAGAATAATAAAACAGACAAAAATAACTTGAATCTAACAGCCTCCACTCTTTGCTATGGAGACAATCTCACCCTCAGACAGATAATCTGATACTCAAACTAGAGAGATGTTGCCTTGGCATTGCCAATGCTCATGCACACGTATGCTGCATGCACATGCACACACACAGACATGCAGACCAAAATGGCTCAATAGAGAATCAGAGAGTATATCAAGAGAAGCTGTGCCTACACAGATAATAATAGCTTTGAACAAGTCATTGTTCATGTTTGCTTGTACGTCTGTGCATGCAGAAATACGTTTCTGTGTTGGAGGTGAGAATTTGACAGATGCAGACATACAAAAATTCTTTGTTAAAGGTATTTCCAACTCACACTGTTTCTTACACTGCTGTGGTATCTGCTGGTTTGGAGACAATTATTTGAAACTTACTCTAATGGAACAGACATGCTATTATGAGAATAAATGAAAGTAGATTTATTTTCCATATTACAATTTGGAGGTGGGGGATGGGATGGGATGTTGGATGTGGGTGGTGGTGGGGAATTAGCTACACAGACAATGGCAGCCCTGCACAATTAGCAAATTACCCTAATGATTTAATTAGGATGGGAGGAATGCATTGCCAATGTCATATGCATAAATATTGATTTATCATGTGCATGAGTGTGACAGGGTAAATAGGAAGAAAGCAGAAAGTGGCATGTAGTTCTAGTCAAACATATGCTGATATAATATTATTTCTGTAGCTTTATTCCATCTTTATGACTGTCAAGCGCCCACATCAAAAACCTGTGCAGTACTAAGGACACTGTCCTCAAAGTCATCCATCAAGGTCTACCTTGTCTTGTTACACTTGTGTCATTCAGAAAAGTCCTTTGTTATGACATACTGTGCAATAACTCACCTTGTCTTGTTGAAAATGCAGGACTCATTAATAATCAGCTACAATGTGCAATAATTGCACAATTAACCATGACAACGCATGATATGTGATGTTCATTAAAATGTGTTCAATAAACTTTAAGGACAACTTTACCCAAAACAATACACAGTGTGCTATAGTCCAATGAGTTCAAACAGTGAAATATGTATATACAGACAAATGTGGAAGCCAAACAGGAAATTGGAGCACTAAGACATGAAGGTATGATTTCACCAAATTATATGTTTTTAAGGTTAGTCGATTGCCATACAGTTTAGTGGTGCATAAAGATGTGTTTAAAATATTCCAATTAAAATAAGTTTTTATTACCAAGTTAAGTTAAGTAAGTACCAAATTACCAAGGTTGCTGTCATGATGTCTTAGAAGTTGTTCCATTATTCATGAATTTCCCCTAGGGGATAAATACAATAGTAGTAGTATCTATCTATCTATCTATCTATCTATCTATCTATCTATCTATCTATCTATCTATCTATCATTATTCACTGTTGTATCCTAACTGTTCATCTTAAAAACACCACTACTTAGCTAATTTTAGTAACTAATATTTGCATCCAAAATATACTGATTGGACACTTTTATATAAATGGCTTAAATACACAAATTAAACCCGAATATCATGCAAAAATCATGTTTTAAGAGTGGTCTCATGGTGGACTGTTCCAGCGACAGGTGGGTGTCTGTTTTTTTTTTTCTTTTGGTCCTACATTCTTGCCGTACACTCTGACGTCACTCCAGAGCGACAAGTAACAATGGTAAGTGAGCAAGCAATTTTCTCTACGGCTCGTATATTTATTCTACTAGTACGTAATATTCGCCAATATAACATTATTCACAGTGCTTGGAACCATAACATTCCCACTGTCATGTAGTTTCAAATGGTTTTATGTTTTATTAGTAAAGTAACAAAAGAATTGAAAGTAAGTAACAGCCTACTAGCAGAAGGCTAGCGACATTAGCTTTTCTCCCGGTTAGCAGCAGTCGTTATACTGGCTTTTACCAACGAAGTCATTCATGGTTAGGAGGCAGCCTTTTCTCTTAGTGTCAGTGTTAGCGATGTTTCTTCGTGGATGACAGTGTCAATGTTGTATCGGTTATGTCTTTCCTTAATTACAAGCTAACACTTTGAGTTTTGCTAATAGAGCAGGTAACGGCGACGTGAGCTAACTTTGTTGTAAACAGCTCTGCTAATGAGCTGTTCAGGAAAGGAAATCACTGTCTGTAACGGTCAAAATAAACCGATGGCAACTTTTTTCTCAGTGTTATTAATATATGTCTGAAACTCTTCCAGGGTCAAAGCCAGAGTGGAGGCCACGGTCCAGGGGGAGGCAAGAAGGATGACAAGGTGAGAATGACACAGCTTCTGCTAGCTCACCTCTGCACCTGCATATTTTGGTAGTCAAAATTAAATTAACTCGTTTATTATTGTCACCAAATTTTAATATTAAAACATAATTATATTTGCACATTTCTGAGATGTCTTGATGATTTAACGGATATATATTGGATAAGTCTATGTGGCAATTAGCGCAGCAAAATGTGCTACACCATCCAGTAATTACCTCACATTTAGTAAAAGTAGTATTCTATGATATTTTGTTGTCACTGTGACTGACAGACAGGCCAACTATACGTTTTGTATCAAACACCGATTTACCACAGGCCACTGTATGTAAAGAGTATAAATTTTACTGCATTACATGTAAGCAAAGATCTTGTAGAGCTGTTTGTGTGATGATAACAAACAAGGAAAAACTTGTTTGGCTTGTGTTGCTATGAAAATAAATATTTTTGTTATATGTCTGTGAAAGGTAAACACTGTAGTTGATGTGTTTTCGCACTGTGTGCTAATTGAAGGATAAGAAAAAGAAGTATGAGCCTCCAATTCCCACTAGAGTTGGTAAGAAGAAGAAGAAGACCAAGGGACCAGATGCCGCCAGCAAACTACCATTGGGTAAGAAATGGAAAAGACGTGGAGTTTTGAAGAAATATTTTATCTCCCAGTACTATTCAGTTCAGTTCTCAGGTCTACTGCCCATACCACTTTGTTGTTTTCTCGGTATCACAAATCTGTTAAATTTTTGGTTGACCTTTTTCTGTTCTGTTTTCATTTTTACTGCCACTGTGAGTTTTTGGATTTGTCCAGTCAGCAGCATTTGTTCAATGTTATCTCTGATCTCACTGGATCTCTCTCTATCTCACTGGATAATAAGGATACTGTTTGGTACTTATCATGAAATCTCTGGTAAAAAGATTGTAATACTGCTGAAACACCTTACATGGCATTTCTGAATAAAAACAGAATGTAAGAGAGAGTAACTGATGTAAATGGTGAGGGTAAATGCATCATATTGACCTTCAAATTTAAGAGGAAAGGTTAAGTCTAAAACAAATTGGTTGTTATTGTATGAACTTAGTGTTTATATAATTTCTTATTGTGAGGTTTACACATTCTGGCATTTGTCTGTGTTTCAGTCACCCCTCACACTCAATGCCGCCTTAAGCTGCTGAAGCAGGAGCGAATCAAAGACTACCTACTGATGGAGGAGGAGTTTATCAGGAACCAGGAGCAGATGAAACCCCTTGAAGAGAAACAGGAGGTCAGCCTTTGTGTCCCTAGTACCTCACATGCTTTTGTGCTGTATATTTGGATAAAAGATAGAGAAAATAATCCACTTCTTGCCTTTGTTTTTATAACAGGAGGAGAGGTCAAAGGTAGACGACCTGAGAGGGACTCCCATGTCTGTGGGCACCCTGGAAGAAATCATTGATGACAACCACGCCATCGTTTCCACCTCAGTGGGATCAGAGCACTACGTCAGCATCTTGTCTTTTGTGGATAAGGATCTGCTTGAGCCAGGTTGCTCTGTCCTGCTCAACCACAAGGTAACATTCAATCATAATCCTTATGTTAGGCTTCTTCTGTCAACTTATGATTCAAGACAGTTAACCAGAAATAATTTCAGTTTTGTGGCTTCTTGATATTTAGTATTTTTCCTTTATTTAACTACCTGTAGCACTTAATAGTCCATCCATCTTGCCAGCAAATATTCTACAATTCCCCAACACGTAAAAAGTTACAGCTGCCTTTATTAATTGATGTAATAATTCTTACCACTTGTCCTATGTTTGTGTATCCTATGTAGGTTCATGCTGTGATTGGGGTGCTGATGGATGACACTGATCCCTTGGTGACAGTGATGAAGGTGGAGAAGGCCCCACAAGAAACCTACGCTGACATCGGTGGACTGGACAATCAGATCCAGGAAATCAAGGTACAATATACAGCGCAGGCACTTCATCTCGCCATGTTATAAAGTCAAAAAAATCTCTCTCGCAAATTTCCTGAGCCAAAAATCTTCATTTCAATATATCAAAGAAAGATAAGCAAGAAAATAGGTGGGTTTATGAAGTGCTAACCTGTGTGAAGTTTGTCTGTGGTCTGGAATAAGAGCGGAAAAAAGAGACACTTGGCCTCTTTCTATATGAACTATGCCACCTCTGTATCATGATCCTCTGCTCTCAGTCTGTTTGCTTGGTTTGCTCAAAACACACAAATATTAACCCAATATGGTAAAATAAATACATTGTTTATGTTTGTAGCCTACATAATGACCTGTTGCATCACTTGAAACAACATTTGCTTATTAACCACCATGTAAGGTTAATGTTCTAATGTTGTTTGCTTGTATTCGTTTAACATTACCATTAGAGGCCTCATCTGACTGTGTAGTTCTGTTTGTTTTTAACAGGAGTCGGTGGAGCTGCCTCTTACACATCCAGAGTATTATGAGGAGATGGGCATTAAGCCTCCTAAAGGTGTCATCCTGTATGGCCCACCTGGCACAGGTAAGTTCTTTCATTAAACATGTTACATGTAACAGTGGCTCTTAGACTCTTTAAAAAAGAAACAAATAAAACAAAGATGCTAATATTTAAAAAGCTAATATCTTTCCTACCTGTAACTTATACTGTTATCCAACCTGCCTTACACCATGTTGTAGAGAAAGCATCTGTGGGTAGCTCTCAGAGCTTGAAGTGATATTTTGCATGCCACAATTACTGTTGAATTATTTAAATATTTTAAAAACCACTCCACCACTCCTGTGTCAGCTAAACCTTCCTGCAGTTCCTTTGCAGTCAGATGGAGGGTTTACTTTGCTGTTCTGTTGGTCTCCCAGATTTTTTCAGTTTTTTAAATCCATGAATAAAAAGTAACAGCATTAACATTAGAAGAAAGACAAATTTTAATGCCTGTTTGCTGCAGGGGTTGTATTTACTTCTTTTCACTTCAACAAAATATTAAATTTGCTTCCCAACATGTTGCATACAACTGTGTTCTTAATTTTTATCAGTTTATGCACTTTGTGTTGCTGGAAATCTCTTATTTTTGCTTTTCAGGGACACTTAAAAAATCAACAAAATATAGAATTTGCCTGGGGGTTGAAAAACCTTTCCATTCATGCTCCAAATGAAATGAGAAATTGAAATTAGATAAAGAAAAAGTAATTGAACCCTTTGGAGTTATTTGCATGTATGTATAAATGTGTCCTAAATAATGGTCAGATCTTCATCTAAATTACAATTATGAACGAACAATTTATTTTAACCAGTAACACAAAAATCTTGTATTGTTCTTATTGAAAACATCCATATTGAAAACATCATTCAAACATTCATAATGTAGGCTGGGAAAAGTGTGTGAACCCCTCGGCTAATAACATCAACAAGAGCTATTAGGAGTCAGGAGTTATCAATCCTGGAGTCCAATCAATGAAACCAGATTGAAGGTGTGGCTTAGAGCTACTTGGACTTATAAGAAACACTCACACACTTGAGTTTGCTCTTCACAAGAAGCATTTGCTGATGTGAACTATGCCTCATAAAAAAGAGACTCATCAGTCCACGGTCAGAGAAACTGTCTGTAAAAGTAGTCAGAGCTCAGGCCTTAACCCGACAGACATACTGTAACATCTTAAGAATATAGCTGAGCTCAAACAGTTCCATAAGGAAGAAAAGACCAAATTCCTCCCGAACATTGTGCAGCTTTGATCTGCAGCTGCTTATTTGAGGTTATTGCTGCTGAACGAGGTTAAACCAGTTATTAAATCCAAGGCCTCACTTACTTTTTTTCACCAACACTGTTGATGTTTACATGCTGTGTTCAATAAAGACACGAGAGATTCTAATTATTTGTGTTATTAGCTTAAGCACATAGTGTTTGTCTGCACTTGTAGCATAGATAAAGATCAGATCACATTTTATGACCAATTAGTGCAGAAAACCCCATAATTCCAGTGTTCAGATACTTTATCTCACCACTTCATATAAAAGAAAATCTCATGGGAAACTACCAAAGCCTTTAAAAATAAAATTACCATTCACCAGCTCTTCACCATTTTTTACCCTTTTACTGAAAATGTCTCTAAATGTCTCAAATCATATCTAGTCAGAGTATTTCTATTCTACCCTGCTAATAAGTAATGACATTCATATGGGTGGGAATAAAGAAACAGCAGTGTGCAGGGTCCAAAGGACAAGGATGTTTGTGGGACCAAATTGAGTTTTCATGCTAAGTATGTGCTGTTAGATGTGTCACTGTATTTACTGAATGTGCTTCTGTTATGCGTATGCTAGGTAAAACGTTGCTCGCTAAGGCCGTAGCCAATCAGACATCAGCCACCTTCCTGCGTGTGGTGGGCTCAGAGCTGATCCAGAAGTACCTGGGAGACGGACCCAAGCTGGTCCGAGAGCTCTTCAGGGTGGCAGAGGAACACGCACCCTCCATCGTCTTCATCGATGAGATCGACGCCATCGGCACTAAAAGGTACAAAGAGGTGTACTGTACTTCAAGCTGTCTAAGGCTGATAGCGTCGACTGATAGCGTCAGAGCAGTGATGATGTTGCACCTGTGGTGTTGAGGAGGCAGAACTAGATGACAAGGTGTTGGATTAGTGTGAAAACTGGCAGAGCCTTTATTATTATATTTAACAGCACAGTTCAGGTTGCAGAGTTTTCCTCGTCTAACTGAAGATGTGTTACTGTGCGGTGAATTTGAAAATGTTGTAAGCCTGTTAAATTGTACATTATACCAGGTTTATTTATCAGATTTCAGTATCCACATCAAACTTTGCCAGTTTGTTTATCAGGTGGGTGTGATGTAATATAGTGGCCGTAAAAAAAGAGGAGAAGGCAAACGACTCAGTAAAATTAGTTAGTGATAACAAGACTACATGATGGACAAGCTTGAGGTCCTTGGAGTCTGAAGATGTATGGTGATATAGTGTGGTCCATAAATTTTTAAGTGTATATATCCTGTGTGTGTGTTGTGTAGGTATGACTCTAACTCTGGAGGTGAGAGGGAGATCCAGAGGACTATGTTGGAGCTGCTCAACCAGCTGGACGGCTTCGACTCACGGGGAGACGTGAAAGTTATCATGGCCACCAATCGGATAGAAACCCTGGACCCAGCCCTCATCAGACCCGGTCAGTAGGAGACTATATCTATTATTGATTGGCTGCCGGCTCGAATATCTACATTATGACTGAGTGGCGTTTGGGAGGTGGTTGTATTTTGATGAGTCATGGCAGGAAGTAGAAATTATGGCAAAGTTTTTTCTTCTTTTGAAGTTCAAGTTTTTTTTTCTCTCTTGGATGAATTGAAACCGCTCTTTAGAAAATACATTCATGATAAAGGTGCTCACTTATAAACACAAAGTGAATTTAGTGAGACAACAATACAAAATTCTTCTTCGTTATTATACAGAAACGACGCAGAAGAATTATTAACATTTATTTAATGAAAAACTTGTTTTTGCTAATTTGAAAATCTTGGTTATTCCAAAAATCAGATATTCACTTTACCACAGTACATATTAATGGTTCTTTATTTATTCATTCAGTTGCACTGATTGTGCACCAGGACAGTTCTGCTATTAAAATGCTTTGCTTTACTGTGAGTCAGCCTGAGTCTGGGTAGAGTTGTCATAGGCAAAGGTGCCTCTGTAATTGTGTTCTTAAAAGATTAACATTTGATAAATTAACAAAATATTATAATTTGAAGTAGTGCAACGCTATGTTTATTAATCAAACTGGTTTTGAGTGACTGTTATTGGCTTTAGTTACTGAATAAAATATCAAAACTTAAACAAGAATTGTCAGAATGATGAGATTCTGTTCATAGAAGCAGTTTGCAAACAGTTTGTCACATTATTCTGTTCTTCTCTCCGTCTCCTCCTCAGGGAGAATCGACCGAAAGATCGAGTTTCCTTTGCCGGATGAGAAGACCAAGAGGAGGATCTTCCAGATCCACACCAGCCGCATGACAGTAGCAGATGATGTCACCCTTGATGACCTCATCCTGGCTAAGGACGACCTATCAGGAGCAGACATCAAGGTAAGAGCTATACTGTCCATTCTCAACTGCATAACAGTTTTCAATCTGCTCCCAGTAGCTAAATTCCTAAACCTACAAGTTGGTCTCACTTTCTGACCTGACACATTGTTGTTTAGAGTAAAAAGGAGCCTGTAAATAAGAGGTAGGCCAGTAAATTATGACATTTTCCAACAAAAGCGAGAGTTATTTTCCTTTACTCCTTTACAGATCTAATAGTATTTGTACGATAACGTTGTCTTTAACATGAGTGGATTAAGCAGCATGGCAGGTGTTGTGACCTATCAAAGTGCATCCTGGCACTGCAGATGCTTTCTGTCTGTTTTTCTTAACTTGCTCTGGTCTGGTTCAGTAGGTCTGAGCAGTGAGCGGCTTCACGCTGTGGAGGGAATAGAGAAAACAAGATTAAGCTTTTTTGAAGGACAATGGCTGGTTTTCTAAGTTATTGTAGTGTGAACTTACTTAACTTTATGAAGTCCTCCGTTCAGAAAGATCCAAAGTGTTATCTGTACATTCACATCTTCACCTTTCATTGACTCAACTCTGCTGCCCTCATGTGGAGTGTTGGAGTACAACACTTTGAGTGAGCTTCCACCTTAAGTGGTTTGTCATCATTTATATTTTATGTTGATCATTTACAATAGCTGCTTAGTTATTTTTTTTCAAATCAGGATAAGAAACACTATTGGGAAATTGCTCTGTTATAATTGCACAATTGGTTGAAGTCCATGGAGATCATGAAGAAAGCACAGGGTTGCAGGTTTTTGATTTTGAGCAGCATCATCGTTGTTGAAGAACTTTATATGAACTAAGGTGTAAACTTTAAAGTGAGAAATCCACCCAAACTTTGATCTTTTGAGAACTTTTTGTTTCCATTTCAGCAGAATGGGCTTCCACGGCCATCTTTACTGTATTTCCACAAAGTGTAATGTGTCTGTTTTCTTTAACAAAAACTTTCTGGAAGCCTAGATTGAGCTTGACTCTTGTTCTCTCTCCTCTCACTGTGTCCTCCAGGCCATCTGCACAGAGGCCGGCCTCATGGCTTTGCGAGAGCGCCGTATGAAAGTCACCAACGAAGACTTCAAGAAGTCCAAGGAAAACGTCCTGTACAAGAAGCAGGAGGGCACACCAGAGGGGCTTTACCTTTAACCCTCAAACTTTTTATGTTTCTCTCACCACCATCCCCCTCACCCCTCCACCTCTATCTATCGCTGTGTGAAAGAGAGGAGGCAGCAGTTGAGTTGTCTGTCTCCCCCAGAGAGAGTTTTGATATATTTTGTGCATGTCATGTCTGGCTTATCCCACTCTCCTGTTACCGTTATATGTTCAGACAGTAAATAAATTGACAAAAAAAAAAAATCATCAGTTTTCTCCTTTTGTATTTACAGGAGCATTTGGACTAGCAGCTGCCTCTGCAATCGTGTTTGCACAGACGCAGCATCTGTTGACGTCTGCTCTTTATTAGATTCCTGTATATTGACTTCATCTCTGTGCTGTAATATCTTGAGATAATTAATCGCATGAATTATTCAATTAATTCAGTCTCTGTTGTCGCCCTCAGTGTCACAAACATAATAGCTCCCATCAATATGCAAAGTCATGTTTGTTGTCTTATTGTCCTCCTTGCCTACTTCCTGAACATGACATACCTCTTATTTCAAGACCCCAGAGGCAAAGTAAAGACCCGAAGGAACTGGCTGTTTTTTCTCTTAAAAGAAATTCACTAATTACCACAATATTCCATATGACTCCTACACACTTGACAACAACACAGATGCAGATAATTAAATCTTGGGAGTTACAGAATGAGAGAAAACACCTTGACTGTCGCATTTTACTCTGACATTTCCTCCAGGAGTAGCGTAATGTCAATGCACTAATGCTTCACTCTCAAGTGTTTAAAGGGAAATGTTCCTCAGCAGTGGAGAGAAGTCAAAGTGAGTTTTGGCACATGTTTTTGTTTCTGCACCGTCGGGGGGTGGGGGGGGTGGGGGTGCTGAATGAGTGTGGTCTGTGATTTGATTTTTGCCGTCTCCATTCAAATCAGCCTTGTAAGTTATTACAGCATGGTTAAGTAAATCCAGCTAAGCTGCCTTTGCTGCAGTCTGACATGTGGAGAGCAGCAGCGTTGATTTAATTCCTCTTGATGTGGAGCCATGTGTAACTCAGTGCTCAGCAGAAAGTGGCCCCATGCAGCAAAGCATCGAACCACTTTACAGGGCCATCTTTGGGCTCGAGTGAGAACGAAGCTGCTGCTGCTGTTGTACTGCAGCCCCCTCCTCGGAAACACTCTCCTTATTAAATCAGTCACGCATTTCAACTGCAGCTCATACATTGCAGCACATTCAGCAAATGGAAGAACCCCCCCCCCCACACACACACACCATTTAAATCAAGCGTGGCATGTTGGGCCAGAAAGACTGGGAGGGTTACAAGAAGAGGAGTGTGCGTTCTAATGAGGCATTTGCCCTGTCAGCTTAAGGCAAACTCTGGGTTGGGTATTTCTAAACCGCCCCCGTGAGCGCACAGACACTGATGGGGGATGATCAGCAGGGCTGACCATGGTGTTGGCATTCTCTGAAATGTCACATCCACATTATTGTTCAGTCACAGTGTGTACAGATTGTGCTCTAGTTAATGTAGCTCTGCGTAAACGCAAATAAAAGCTTTGTTTTCAAAATTAGAAATTCACAAACACATAAATGGTAAAGAACTAATGAAGATATCCAAAACACTTCCTTGCAGTATTAAGCAAAGCAATTCCTAACCTGAAGCATGACCTTATCGGGCACCTCGGGTCCTGCTTTATTCAGCCTTTTAAAAGACAGTAAGAGGTTTAAGGTTGAAAAGTGGGGTTGTGATCTTACCTTTGCCATTTCAAATCCCCACATGTGCAGGGAAATGTAGTCCCAAGTCATAAACAACAACGCTCATCCTTTCACCTGTGTCTTGCTGCAAAGAGTGCAGCAACACAAAAGAGAAGTGTGTGTGTGTGTGTGTGAGAGAGAGAGAGAGAGAGAGAGAAGGAGATAGACGCAAAGCAGCAAGAGAAATGTATATCTGCTTATGTAATAGCTATTTCTCCTGTTAAACAGGGCAAACGCACCGAACAAATTCAGTAAGAAGTCCCGATTAGTTCCAGTAGATTAACAAATGAAACAGCTCAACTTGAGTTAGAGTTACTTGACCTGATGAGAAGACTGCAAACAGCCTGCTCCCTGACTGAACCGCAGAGATTTTACTTAAAGAACTACAATATAAGATCTTTAAAGGGTTGAATTTAAATATTAAATAGCTGAAGTTGTTTATTTGCATCTCCGTTAGGAGTTACAAACACTACTCTTTCTGCATTCAACAGGAAAACCTCATATGATTATGTAAATGAAACAAAGTGAATGTTATATATAAAATGCATATGCATACAAATACATAGGCCTATACATAAAACAGTTCATTGATTAGGATAAAAGAAGGTACGGGACTAGTGTGTAATATAATCAGCAGTTCAATCAATAAAACACTGGTTCTGGGTTCTTGGCTAGCTTCCTTATTATCCATTGTCACTTGTTCAGTCTTACAATGATACCTTTTGCACCCTTGAATACGTATGAACAGTTATTAGTAACTTACTAAGCCTTTGTGAGGCCTTTTATGAGTCTGTTTACATGTTAATAAAGATCTGAATCAAACTAGAAACCAAGCTGTGACTGGAGAAACATCTCAGAAACCAGTTACTAACACGTTTCAGTGATCTAAATACTTGAACATATGGTTAAAATTATGTTCATGGCCCTTACTCTGAATATAAGACATTTTCTGTTTGTATTCAGTGTGTGGGATCTCTTCCTTCCGTGTTGCCGCCTGCTGTAAACAACTGTTCCTGATTTCTACGCTTTGTCCACTGAGTGGTGCTTTTGTCAGGTACACTTCACAGTCACAAACAGGCTGGAGGACCTTTACACACATATGTGTGTGTGTGTGTGTGTGTGTGTTTGTGTGTAGGGTTATGACTACATACTATGTTATTTGCCACATCCTGCGTCGTCACTCCCTAAGTTTAGTTTTATTCAGGGGTCAGACATAATGTTCACTTGATTAACAAGCTCCTGTTTTAATGGCATACAACGCACCCCGGTTATGTACCGCTTAAATAAGTAGGCTGTAACACTACCACGCTTCATTGTTAATTTCACGTAGGCCTACCAGACTTTGTAGCAGCCAATAGTAAGTCTGCGCACTTCCCATATGGAGCCTATCAAACATTTACCCCGCACCAATGAAAACCTGTCGCAATTTACATCCGTCTCCACCAAACAAATGTAAATAATTATAGACACTAACAAAGCAGAGGAAACGCGGCGCTGAAAGCTGCGTTGATTTTTAAGATTCCTGTATTTATATTTATTATATTTCCATCAAGTGCCACTGCCTGGTGCAATGCAGGTCCCGTGTAGCCAATCGATGCGGCCGACACATGGAGTATAATATTGCAGGTCTGCAGCGGCCAATCAGAGACGCCATCACACACCGGCACAGCAAATTCTCCAGTGTCAACCAGGCCGCTTCCTACACAAACGTTATCCTTCCGCGGCTGCAAACTAGTACCCTGTGTTGGGAGAATCCAACTCTCTTTCTGGAATAATAAGAAGCCAGGTGAATAGATAGCAGCTTCAAAATGCACCAAAAGAGATTTTATATGTTTGTATGTAATAGATATATCTGGGTAAGTTGTGAGTTCTCACAATTAGCTGCTTCAATTTAAAGGCACAGTCTGCATTAAATTCAGACCTATGGGTTTCATTATGGAGTAAAAAAAATGTCCACATTTGGTGATAAAATTACAAATAAATTGATAATAAAACAGATTATGGTCATAAAAATATATTCTTAGTGGACTGATATAAATATTAGAATATAATAACAAAAGATTAAACATCAGTTCAGTTAGTCTTTATATTTGTGATTACAGTCATTTGTCAAATACCCACCCTTTCACACGTGAATAACTTTTGTTTGTTGATTACTTTTGCCATAATAGGTTTGATCCTTGTATTATAATGATTTGTGATGATTATCAGGTGAGGAAAAATTAGGAGAAATTCACAGAAGTCTCTCCAATCTTTCTAGATGATCCAGACAAACAAGTTGATGTATCCTGGCCATTTATGGGATTAACTTCTTCTTGGCTAGGATATTGATGATGATGATAAGGTTGATGGTGGCTCAGTTCAGATGTACATTTCTTACCTACTCAAAGTTAATCATGGTCCATAACACCTTAGTAACTGTTTGGCCTTAACTTTAATTTGCTGCTTTATTGCCGCTTCATCTAACTTGGCCTGAGAACTCCCAAGGGGCCAACCAAACAAACTGTAAAATATTGATTCTTGCAAGTTAAAGTAGTCTGCACATATGGTGCACAAAACAAGGGCAAGCAGTAGTGTGTGGAGAATATGGCCTCCAGTAGGCAAACATGTGGATACATATCTAGAAATGTTCATCCGGGCTTTCCTTAAAAGACCTTATCCTTACATGACTTACATCAGTTTGTCATTGCTTGCGGTGATGGAGTTTAATGGTCTATGAGAATGAAAACAACACATTAACTGCTGGGGGTTTGATCCTCTGGTCTAAGGGTTTTATATATCCATTGATAAAGTTATATCACAAAGTTTGCTGACTTTAATGTACATCATGAATCATCATCCTACAAAGATGGATTTAGCTATTATCAACTGGATGTCCACTGCATCCCAGGTCATGCAGTTCAATATGAGTGGATGGATGCTCTCCGTGCACTGCAGGCGTTTCAGCCCCGGTGACTGGCATGTCATCTGCTGGAGGCCCGAGCTGCTGCAACAGCCCTGAATTGAAATAAGGAAGTGAGTGATCAGTGCTAGTGTGGCGGAGGGATACACAGGCAATCCCCATCTGGCCACGGCCAATATACACACTCCTAACCCGCCAGTGGAACTCCATCTAAGGAACGACCACACTCCTAGTCTGCCTCCACAGACCGACAAGCACACAACCCATCCGACATGGTATGTATTGTCATTCATTCTGTGTAGAAGGGAAATGCGTTTTAATTGTAGGAAAGCCTGCTTATTACAAATGTAAACCCGGTGCGGTTTAATGCTTTTCCGTCCCCGTATTTGCTACTCAGTCATTGATTGCTCTTATGAGCTACTCGTATGTAGAGACGAGGACGGAAAACGCCCGCAAACCGCATTTTTTCTATGTTTTAGCTAGTGCACGAGATAACGTGAAGCCCTCACGAAGTCTGGCTTTATTCGTGTTAATGTTTTTTTTTCTCTGAAACGATGGTCACCTTCAAACCGGGACCGTATTTCCCCATAACTGCGCAATTCATAGAGCATTATTGGCTATCCGGCTATGTCGGGTCAAGTAGCTGGTTCACGGCTGCTTGGTGCAGATCGAATTAATTCTTGGACTAGATTTAGTGGTATCGGAATAACTAACAAGCTATTCTGGGTTATTACAGCATAATTCAGTTAAGGGCAACATTTCTACTATCCGCCTTAGGAGCGCAGGCATGTTGGGACGCCCTGACTAACGTTATTAGAGTCACAGCAGAGCCATACGCTGACATTTATTTCAACACGTTTCTACACGTATGTGGGACACGGTTTCTTCTCTGTAGCTGCTGTTCACACGGTTTGAACACGGCTAACCCGCGAGTTGCGCTGCCCCTCGTCATGAGGGGGAAAAAAAACGAGCTTGGTTTCCCTTTTTCTAGGTTGCACCATCGTGCTGCTGCTCGA